TGATGTTTCTGTTCTTTAAAATGCTTCATTTGCTGAAGTCAATAACAATCTGAGCTTGTATTTTTTCCATATTCTCAATATGCCACATACATAATGATTTTTTTTAAATCCACATTAATTTTTTTGTACAATAAAAGCCTACCAACCAAATTTCAGGTTATGATCTTCCAATTCTTACATTTTTTTTATTTCTCAGCAAGACCCATTCTTTCATCCAAACTGCAAAATACATTTAACTGATCGGAAGAAAGCATGAAAAGGCAATAATGCATTGAGGACCCAGATTGTTGGGGGCAATATGCTGACTCTGTAAACCATTTAGGGCTGTAAAAGCACTATGAAGTGGTATATAAGTCTTAAGTACTATATTCCTTTCCTTGGTCAGTTTTTTTATCTGATCCTACAGAACAAACAGACTCAGCTGAGAAATAATAGAGCAACAATAGTTTTAGTGTTGCTGAAATTTAGTGTTTAAATTTAAACTCATTTAAAATGCCTAGTGTCTTAACCACTGCACCAAACTGACTCTCAATTCATTATTATTACCTTAAGAAACTAACATGAAAATATACATCTTATAACCTCATTTTTTAAATTACATTTAGAATGATATATTAATACACAGCACTTTTTCTATTGTGCAAAGGTACGAAGGCTAATCAGTTTAATTAAAGTCTCTAATTCTGACCATGTAAATTTTTACTATAATTTAAAATGATAGTTTAAATTTAGAGAGACGGTTTGGTGTAATGGTTAAGGCGCTAGACTAGAAACTGGGTGACCATGAGCTCTAGTCCTGCCTTAGACACAAAGCCATTTGAGTGACCTTCACCCAGTCACTTTTCGCCCTAGGAAGGAGGCAACCACTTCCAAAAACCTTGCCAAGAAAACTGCAGTCCCCAGGAGTTAACAATGAGTCAAAGGCTTCATGATAATAAATAATAATACTCATTAGATGGACAAAAAAGCCAAATCTAGCTTGAACATCTGGCTGACTGTGCAACGAACCATAAATAATAATGGATTAAATTTAGTATAATTACCTGCATGTTTAAACTTCCAATTTTCTCTCTCCTGTATATTTAGTCGGCCTACTGCAGAGAATCCTCTTCATGCAAAAGGAGCTTTGCAATACATACATGAGGGAAAGAAAAGTCTATTTGTCAATAATCCCTATTGCACTGGTAGATAAGCACCAACAGAAAAAAGATAATTAAAAGGAAACAGGGATTTTCCCAAGAAAATTAACAGTTGCTATATAAAGTAAATGCTGAATTAATTGGCACTGAGTAATTAAAAATAATAAGACTTGTGTGGTTAACTACCTATGTTCAGCAAACATAAAAAGCAGATACCATATTAGTAAAAGTTTGATTTGGATAGTGTTTAGTTTATTTAATAGTCATATCTATACATATCATAAAAGTATGAAGGTTTCTACATCTAATCCTAATATTATTTTAATCACAGACTATAGAAAATTATTAAATTTCAGTCTGGAATTTGCACATATGCTTTGTTAAATTGGCACCTAGAGAAAGTATCTAGAAATTCCAGACACCTTCTGCATAAAGGTGCTGTGAGTAAAGCAGGTGCTTCTTTTTTTTAACCAAACATTTCTGCCAGATGTTGATACCTATGATACTTTAGTTACTCTAATCTTTAGAAATAGTATGAATAAGCAACTCTTCTCCTCTGGCTCTTTGTTTTCAACATCACCAGGTATCTTTTTAAACACCTGATATTCTGTCATGGACGCATGAAGCAGATAGCCATCCCTTACATCCATCTTTTTGGGTAGTGCCAAACATGAGGTTTAGGTTGGTTGGTTGGGTATTTTTAGGTGAAATTTCAATTAATGCATTGTACTTTACAGTGTTGATAGATTTTTCCCACTCTACTACCACCACTTTCCCCAAAATATGAGCTATTCCTAAAGCCAGGGATAGTTCCCTCCTAGAAATATTTGATATAGAACTCTCCATCCCCCCCCCCCCAGCCAAGCTATACGGTATGAGATTTCATTAGTTTGCTTGCCTTTCTTGAATAAGTACATAACAAGAATATAAATACTGCTTTGGAATCTTTCCTCTGTGGAAGCCACATTGAGAACAAATGGCAACAAGAGAGAAGAAGGAATTAGTCATCTTGTACAATTGTCTGTCTCTTTATTTTTATTGGTTGTTAAAAATGGCTAATACTAGAAGAGAAGATAATTGAGAACATAATAGAGGATGTGTTCTTTTTCATTAATATATATCACATATATATATATCACTTTCTCCAAGTTTCCAAATAGAGTCCTCACTTGTTGCTTCCAAGCAGTCTTAGTTTAGATAATCTGAGTGTTTTAGGGTCACTATTGAACCTGAGATGAGTAAAATCTAACCCAGAGCTTCATATTGGATGAACATCAATATCTCACTAGCAGGACAGAGACCAACTTGAGTAGAATGAGGTGGAGATAATTTATCCCAGACTTGTATTTCTGAGTTTTTTTACAAAACAGCAGCCAAATTTAGGACCAAATGTAATAACTCCAGTCAACTGTGGTTCTAATCACCTTTGTCAAATGCATGAATATATATTAAAATAGGTATAATAACTGAATGAAAATGATTGAAAATTTCAGTTCGAGCAGGTTGCTGTGCGAAATTGACTTGGCATTTTCATTCCTGGAGTTCTACCTAAATATGCAAATAATGTTTTAGTCCAGTCTCTCTCCCCCCGCCCCAGTTTACTACCCTCCAGATGTGTTAGGAATAATGATCAAATCCAAGACTATGGAGAATACTTCAATCAATTGGACTGTTGGTGAGAATTTGTATCACCCCATGAATAAGCATATAGATTGTTGCTTTGCATAGTGATGGGAAGCAAAAGTCCATAGCATCTGAAAACTCAACATAGAATGCAAATACTCATTTATAACACAAAGCATTTCTTGGTAGAACACTTGTCAATTTCCATTATTTTTATGCAATGCACCATTAACTAATAAAGCACTAAAATTGAGAAACCAATAAAACCATGCCAAAAGGTTTCCAGGATATTTCTTCGAATTTCTAGGGAAACATTTCATAATACTTGAACCATGCTACAATATGTATCCTTTCAAATCCCATACTGGGAATTCAACAACAAAATTTTTTTTGAAAAGACCAGTAAAAGTGTCAGTCATTGATGGATATGTCAAATTGGGGGAAACCAAGTATTGTACACATACGTAGATCTTGTGTAAGATCTTGGCAAATTTAACCTATTATTTTAAATTAATCTTAATAAAGGCAAAATTATTATTGTAGCTGAAACTGACACATAACTTCTGCTTCAGGCTGAGATGTCAATGTATAGCAGCTCCCTGGTTTAAGAGGGCCCTGGTTTAACCCTTAGTTAAGAATGGAGAAACGTGAAATATTTAACTTACTTTGTTCTGTCACATAGCCTCATTCCTGTCAGTATTAGGATAGGCACTATATCACATATGGTGGTTATTTGATTCTGTGATTTGTCTATTGAGATACTCACATTTGCATTTTCAGTTTGTGTAGCTCATTTCAGTTTTTAAAAAAACCTTAATACCTTAAAAAAAGCTTACTTTCTGTAAAAACAATGCAATTTTTGTTTTCATTCTTAGTGTTTTGGGCATAATTCATAGTCATGCATGTTTCCATATTTGGAATTATATTGATATTGGAAGACAGGTGCATTCATACATGGTTTCATTTTGGCCCCAATAATTTTAAATCAGTAAATTTAACTTCAGCCCAATATGGGAGGAGAAAGTGAAGTTGTGAAAGCACTTCAGAGTATTTGACCTTAGAAGTGTTGCAGTTTTCAGCCATTTTTGAGACAGGCAGGGGAACACTCTCCCCAGCAGGAGTAGGAGTTCCAGCGGAAGCCCTCTCTTTACTTGACTTAAGTGGGACTTGAGGTTGGGGGATTGTGAAGTGGAGTTTCAGAGGGGTTAAATTTGATGGCTGGTTTATGGATAGTTAGGCTGGTGGCTGTGTAGTGACATCAGAGCAGCCACAGGAATAAATGTAATGTGGCTGACTAGTAAGGAATTGGGGTACTAGAATCATGCACCATTCACAGTGATGATGAATAGAATACAAGAGAATGGTGTAGACAGGAGAGGAACTGCATTAATGTAGTGATATACTGAGGGAGATATTGCAGAAGACGAGTCAGGCTGCCTTTGGGGAATGGATGTCTTAGGTTACTCTTGTCCCCTAGCTTTAATCTGAGAAAATGGGGCTTTAGTATTTAGTGCCTTGAACTAAATAGATTTCATTGAAATCTTGCACGATTACAAATATTTTTTGTACAATGCCTGAGATATCTTTTCCGGTATATTATATGATTGAATTCAGAATTCATGTTGGCTCCTGTTGTAATGCCTGATAAATAACTACATCAGTTGTTTTAAAAAATGGCTAACCCTAACCCTTTTGTGGTGGCCTAACCAGGTCTGACCTAGTTTAGCTGTTTTGAGATCAGTTAACAATGACGAGGTGCTGCCACCTGCTAAGAAGGTTACACAAAATTTTTAATGCCCGGATACCTTTAAAAAAAAACGGACAAGAACCACTTAAGAATGTATAGTCTATATACAGAATGTAAAGCCCAGGAACTTGAAATGTGATTTACTCTGTATTGTCAAAACAGTTGAAAATATTATAAATTGCATACGAGAATGTTTAAAACCATCCATAATATCATTTACTTTGTTGGTTGAATTGTTATTTTATATATATTTGGAATTAAGTAATATACTAAGCGCAAAAATGACACTATCCAATTCTATAGTTTAAGTGCTGTTTTTGCCATAACACAGCCCTAAGCATCTTTGAAAAATATTCTTTCTCTCCCAAATCTGAAGTCTGAATAAAGACTCCATAAAGTATATTAAAAAATAATGTTTTGCAATGTTATGCCTGCATTTAATTTCATTTAAAGTAAAATCATAAATTTATTTCATATATCTTCAACTTTAGACTACATTCCGCTCCATCAAAACCGACAGAGAGGCAACTGACCTTGAAAAGGGCAGAAGAAGAGAAAAGCACAGATGACCCCGAAGACCTCTTTGATGATATCTGACTTTTCTGGAAGAAGGCTACAATTTCACTACAAGCTGCTAAAAATGCAGTCAATTATCTCTTCTAAAGAAACTGTTTTACATGTGGCAGTGGAGGGAGTTATTTGTACTCTAAAATAATATTCAACTAGTGTTTTATCTTTTGCTAATAAAGGTTGTACCCATGAATCACTAACAGTCAACACTTTCCATTCAAGGCCTTACAAACTTCAGGAGGTTAATCTGCCTCCAGTTGATGTGAATGAGAAAGGTTAATTTATCCTCAGGATTAGGAAGGACAATTAGCAGACCATCAAAATGGCAGCAGTGAAAACTGGGAAGAAAGATGAAAGGCTGCAACCCATGACTTCAGGCAGAAAGGTGTTTTAAAATCTCTATAGTGGTTTTATGATTAACGAAAATATATTTCCTAAATTAAGAATAGATACAGTGTCTCATCCATTAGACAAATGTTTTCTTTCTGTTTGATCATCGCTTTTAAATGTCCAAAATGAAGTCTCTTGCTGCAAAGTTATTTTCAGGCCTTTACTCCATTTCCTTCTCAGTAATGGTCCCTAGCGACCATTGTTTTGAGAACAAAAGCAGTGACCCACAACTTCGACCAGCACTCTTGGAATATCAAAAGCAAGGGTTTCTATGACATTTTGGAGATAAGGCAATCTGTTGTAGATTGTTTTACATTTTGAGTTGGAGAATTCTTATGCATAAATAATATTGCCATAATAGGCCAGTTTGTCCCCAGTCTTATATCTGGGTATATTGAATTAAAACTCCCAGAACTCTCAGCCAATGAGGGAATTCTTCCAGTTTTAAATCTAGGAGATTGGGGAAAGTCTGCACAAAACTTTGAAAAAAGCTTATGATAATAGATTAATTATTAAAATGGTGAATTAAGTTTGAAAATATTCACGTTCTATTCTCAGCTGTCAAATATCACTACGGAACAACTTTGAACTAGCCACCATCTTTACTTACTTCACAGGATTGTTATGGATTAAAAAAAAGAACTGATGGAAGTTTGCTATGTGTATTATTTTGATATAGAGCAAAAGTAGGATTATACATTAATGAATAAGAAAATGGGCACATATGTATACTGTGGGGACTCTGGGAGGCACATGACAACATGTATTTAATGACGTCATGCAAATTATACAATTTACATCTTGGTTAATGGCATTTGTTCAGCAACTTTTTCAATGACACTGAATGAGGAGACTTCTGGCTAGTCCTTGAAATTGCATTGCAACATCTCTGTAGTTTCATGATTTTGATTTAAGCACTTAGCAGCAATTAGTTCACAATGATGAGAGTTGCCTCTTGTCACTGTCATGTGCTCGCCATTTGCAACCTTCACTGTCAGCTTCTCACAGTCAATGGGAAAGCTGGCAGGAGATTGTCCATGGCAATCACATCATGCTACACCAATTGACCATGTGGGATTTACCTGATGGTTACAACTGAAATTTATGAACGAAGGCAAATGTACATGTCTCATGATCTCTCATTCTGGTGAGAGAGAAGTTCCCTGAGAATGGGCTCCAGCACGAGTCTGAAAACTCAGAGAAACCCAGATTGGGCCCTACAAGAACTGAAATTGCTGGAACAGCTATTATTAAGATGGTATAGTCATGTGACATCACACTTTACAACCATGTTGGTTAGCGACAGAGCTTCCAATCCTGACTAGCTAATTGAGAACTATTTGTACTTGTCTCAGACCTCATAGCCCATATATGTAATTGAAGCATTTGAATGATGATATCACACCCATGCCATTTGATGTCAACACAAGTTTGTTACAGACATCACTAGGAAGACAGGCCAAATTAGAAATGTAGAAAGCCACTAGAAGCCAGATTGCCACTGAGTTGAGCCTATCTTTTATTTTATGACCTTAAATTTATTTTTTCAATCTGAAGGGTATTTTTCTGCTTGTTTTTCCCACTACTTTTACAAAGTATGTGACCTTTGAAAAATTGCCTTGACATTTCATATAAACACAGCCTCTTGGTGCTTTGTTCAAGTATTTTACTATGGAAATTATCCTAGTGTTAAGCATTTATGCAAAATACTCCTATAAGAAGTAATTTTAGGTCATTTCAATACTTTCTTAATTACAGAGCAGCTGAATACTCAATTCTGCATATAATTCTGGTTATGTGTACTTAACCTGTATCTTCTGTTGGATAAAACTTTTGTGTTGTTGTTCTATTTTATTTCTGTAAGCCTTGAATTTTCATTCTCCTCTCCCCACAACTAAGATTTTTTTCTTTCTTTTAATAAGACAATTAAAATACAGTTTTAAGTATTAGCTTTGTTTTAATGGTAACCTGCAAGTAGTCTTCAATGGAGCAAAATAGTTTTTAAAAATGTCTGGAATGCTGAAAGAAGTTACTTCGAAAGAACCATCCATGAGAATAAAATATTGTCTGCAAACAATCGCATTGGATTTTTTTTATAAAAGGATAGTATAAAAATAACCCCTAATTCCTACAATTTTTCTCAAAAGAAGTGTCTTGGAACAAAAAATAGTGTAGATAAATAGCAAGGAAGTCAGCCATTTGGCTATTATTATTGTCTATCTGGAGCAAGGGAAAAAGATGATCCTATGAATATGAGGAAAATGGAGCAGATGTCCAGTTTTCTTTTAAGAGAACTGACTTGGTCATATGATGTTTCCCAGATACCAGACACAATTTAAAGAATTTTAGCTGCAAATACGGCTTTTTATTGTACTACATACAAATGTGGTGTTCTTCTAACAACATAAAATGCTGAGTTATAAAAACAGCATTATTTAATCAGTGAGATTACTGTTTTGTTATGAAATGTAAACTCCAATTAGTAGTAAAGAGATCATTATCCCATTTCTAGAATTCTAATCTGGTAGATTACAGGTCAGGGGTAATTGGATCCAACTAGTAGGGCACTCTAAAGTGCTGCCCCGTTTCAGGAGAAAGGAACTAGAGAAGCTATAAATCACCTTTTGTAGTATCTTCTTAGAAGCTGTGTTAAGGAAAGTTTGCAGAGAATGCTGTCTTTGAAATGTTTTCAAAGTTTTCCCAAGATAGCTATCAATAATGAAATCTCATACCAAACCAAACCAAACTAAATGTAAAACAGCAACCATTGATAAATCCATGAGCCATAAACACATTGGGTTACTATACCAAGTAGAAATGAGTGCAATTAGTTTCATACAAAACTGATCTAAGTGCCTTGCTTCAACCAATGCTTGGGCAATTGACTTGAGCAGTATATGTGGACCTTATAATGTCATTTATGTATGTATGATCTAGTGCATGTTCTCATTTTTTTCAGAGGGGTACTGCCAGCATATTTGTGTAATAAAGTCATTTTAGATTGTCATAATTACCTGAAATTAAAGAATATGAGAACTTCAAACTGATTACATGGTTTTTCATAGAGACAGCACTCCAGTCCAGACCGGCTTCTGCCACCAATAGCTTCCCACCGGCCAGTTCGCTTCCACAGAAAGGTCTCCTCAGGGTGCCATCGGCCAAGTTATGTCGGCTGGCGACACCCAGGGGGAGGGTCTTCTCTATGGGAGCCCCAGCCCTGTGGAATGAACTGCCCCCGGAAGTGCGTAAGATCTCCGACCTCCGGGTATTTCGCTGTGCACTCAAGACCCTGTTGTTCCGCCAGGCCGGGCTATCAACATAATTTTTTAAATTGGGTGTTTTAAATTTCTGGGGTTTTAAATTGAGCCGAATTATTTAATAATTTTAAATTATTTTAATTGATGTTTGTCTTATGCTTTTAATAGGCTGTACACCACCCTGAGTCCTTCGGGAGAAGGGCGGTATAGAAATAAAATTATTCTATTCTATTATTCTATTCCACAGTTAAGACTGTCCACTGCCCATGGTTTCCTGTTTATAATGCCTCCATCATATCTGGATTGAGTCCTGCCTCAACCATTATTCTATATAAAATGAATGAATAAATAAATTATATTCAGTTGCATATGTGTATCATTTGTAACTATTTTTGTGTTTTCATGGTTTAATTATTGTGACACTTTGCCACCCAGACTCAATTTGAGATAGGTAAGTATAGAAATTGAATAAATAAATAAATTCCACAAATAATCGCTGTATCAACCTCTCTGTCAATGTGGTCTCCTCCAGATTCCTTTGAGTTGTAGTGACAAAGCTGTTCTAGGACAAGGAATTCTGAGAGTTGTCCCAAAACATTTCTGGGATACTTTTTGAGAGAGGTTGTACCAGCAGATGATTTCAGAATTTCCCGGCATGATTGGACTACAAGCTCTACTTTTTAAAATGCATTGCAGAAATCTTGCAATCCTGAATAAACAATCGTGAATATGTCCTTGAGGAGAAACCTAGATCTACATATTTTTGAACACTGAATTTGACCAACTACCATACATAACACTTTTGTGGAAATTGAAAGGAAATTATTCTTACGAGTAAACTCAAGCACAAACGCAAATTAGTTCAAAAAGAAAGAAATTTAAACCTAGAATCTGTTTTTGGAACAAAACTCTTGAATCTATGAACTAATAACCCATTGTAATGATACAAGTCCAAATGTTTTTCTTGACCTTAAATAGTTGTTTCGTTTCTAGAATTAAAAAGACGTTTCCAGGAAACTTTATGTTCTGGTGCCATTAAACTTTCTGTAATTAAGCACTGGGTGTTTGGTGATGACTGTTGGAGTTGCCTAGTAACATCAGCAATGCAGTGATTCCCCTTTCACTCTATCCAGAAAAATGAACAGTGCATGGGAAACAGCATAGAAGATACACTGCAGAATCTGGATACATTCAGCAAGAAGAGTCCGTATGCCAGATGATGTATTATGGAGTTCCTTAACTGACAAACAGAGGATGCTACTAGTTATGAAATCATAGGCTGTATGTCTAGACATACTCAAGTGTGCATGCAAGAATCGTAATGTTGAAGATCAGCCTTCCTCTAACCTTTAGTTGTTTGAGAATGCAGCTCCCATCATTTTCAGACAGCAAAGTCATTGGTGGAATTCTAATTCAATGTATCTGGCTTGTACCACATTGGGACAGCTCTTGTAACAGGAAGAAGAAATGGCAGGAAATAAGTTTATTGCCTTCAAATGTATTTGCTACAATAAATCAGATTCTTTGCAATAATATTTTTCTTAGA